ATTTGAGAGAGAGACAGAGAGGAGCAGAGGGAGGACAAGCGGACTCCACCCTGAGCTCAGAGCCTGACTGATGTGGGGCTCGATCCCATGACCTGAGCTGAAATCAAGAGTCGGACGCTTAACCGACTGAGCCACCCAGGCGCCCCTCTTATATCAATAAATATTCTTAAAATAGTAAGAAAAAAAGTGTCTTGAGAGGGAAAAACGAGGTGTGAAGTGGGACCACTAAAGAAGGATAGATAGAGGCAAAAGAGTTTCAGGCCCATGATAGGGCTTGAAGGGGAGCAGCCTGGACCAAGGGAAGGAAATTGGGTGTGAGAAGCCATTGACAAGGAGGTAGCAGCTCTGGCATCCTCTTTGATGGGTGACGGTGGGGTGACCGGAGGTGTTGGAGAGCTGTGAGTTGCCAAATGAACCTCTCGATAAAGGTTATAGAGGTGACTTTGGCTGCACTAAACAGAAATGGATGAGTTGGGGAATTACCTACAGGGGGAAGAGGGATGGGGCCTAATGTGGGATTTCCCGGGGATTGGGAGTTTGCAGGCAGTGTGTACAGCAGACAGAGTACAAGCTTTGGAGTTCGGGCAGCATTCGAGTGTCAGATTCACTGTATTCTGTGCTGACCATAACCTTGATTTCTCGCCTATGAAACAGAAATGATCCTGACAACATGTACCTGGCAGGGTTTGGGGGAGGATTTGATGAGGTGATGTAAGTAAAGCATTGGACCCAGTACCTGGCACAGACCCAGAGCCCCAGAATGTTCCCCCTTCAATTAATTCTGTGGTTTGAGGAACTAAAGTGGCAAGAAATCATTTGCATATATAAAGAGCCATTCTTTCAAATATTTCCCTCCCAGCTTTCTGGGAGAGCCACTAGGAGCCAGGATTCTGAGCTCCAGCCCGCAAAGGCCTGAGCTGAGCCAACCGGGAAGGGAGAGGAGCTGGCTGCAGCCAAAGCACTGGGCAGCAAGACAGAGGAGGAGGACTCAGGGCTTTGACTCGCAAGCTGCCGCCAGCGAGGCTGATTTTGGGGCAACCTGGCAAGAGGTCCTACTTTGGGAACTCTAGGAAAGAAGTACTCTGTGAATGCTTATCCCAGTTTTCCCACGTTTCTCGCACCCCCTGGCCCTTTCTGCACACCCCCTTCAGCTTTGGGGAGTGTGGCAATGATTGACGAACCCTCCTGCTGCGCGCGCCCGCGCGCGTGCACACACCCCCCCACACACACACACCCCCACCCCATGGGTACAGATGTGCTGGGCAGCAGCTGTACCATGCAACCTACACCTGTTGCCTAGATCAGCTGCTGTAACTCTACTCCTGGGAAAGGAGGCCAGGTGCCCCGGCTTGCAGAAGTCCTCCTTTTGGCAGGTGGAAAGGACAGCCTCTGGCTGTCATAGCAGTTCGCTCCAGGAGGCTGCTTGGAAAGTGCCAGGGCCCTGGGAATCTCAGCTACAGACTGGGAACCCTTTCCAGCCCAGAGTTGCTCCCAGCTGTATCGCTGTCCCACACGCCCCGGCTGGTTCTCTGACTACTCCCACCCCCACCACACTGGGGTGGGGGAGACAGAGGAGCAAGGGGAGAGACAGACACCTCCAATGGGATCCATCCCTCTGTCAGCAGCAATGTAGAAGCTGAGCAGCAATGTGGACCAGAGGACTCAAAGAGAACTAGAGCTGGGGAGAAGACTGGCAGTGGGGCCAAGGATGAGGAAGAGTCTGGAAACGAGAGCAGAACTCGCTCTTGTGTGGCTTGGGCCGCCGAGACGTTCGTTCCGGAGGCTGCAGCCCGGGAAGGCTTCCATTCCACACTGAGCATGCGTGGAGGCGTGGCCTGGGCAGGCACCGTGGGAGCGCGGCGCAAGCGCTGGTCTAAGCCGTGGGAGAGCGAAGCAAGCGACCCTCCTGGAACGCCTCGGTGCTGAGCGAATCCAGAAATCCCAGGGAGCTGAGGAAATTTCAACAAGGCAAAGCCGAGACACACGTCCTCTGACATCCAGATCCACACAATGCATGGCCCGTGCCAAGACACAGAAAAGCCTGGTAGAAAACCAGATGGTGACTTGGCGTTGCAGATGTCTGGATGTGTGTACACCCACACCCACTTCGGCCTTTGAATGAACATATCTTCCATTTCCCCATGCTACTCCACATTCAGGAAAAGGAATCTTGAGCCGGCGATGCTCAGAGTGATGCCAAGGCCTTACCAGGAAGGTATTCTCCAGTTCCCCATCAGCCCTGGAGGTGCCAGGAGAAACAGCCCATGTGGCAAGCGGCTCCAGGCCAGATGTGAGACACTGCTGACCCCTGCTGGCGGGTTTCTCTCTGCAGCAACCCGGGAAAGCCCCAGGGAGAATGGAGTACTGGAAAAAGCTTGCAATCCGTCTGGGAGGGGTAGGAAGAAATAACCCAGCGAAGAATCTCCTCATCTGGAGCTCCTCTGATGAGACCCAGAAGAAGTTAGAGTAAAACCCAGACTGAATTTCTGGGAGGAGTGAGACAGACTAGTGCGTCCTTTCAGCCCCTGTGACTTGGAAGAACTCCCTGCTGCGGAGCTCTGCGAACCTAAATTGGGAAATCATTAGCAACACTCCATTAACCAAATTAAACCACTCAACCAAAAAAAAAAAAAAAAAGAAGAAGAAGAAAAACCTCTCCTCCGTCTCTCTCCTTTCTTATTGCAGTGCAGAGCCTTCCTGAACTTATAGCTTAATTTATTGTGAGTCTGACATTTCCCCCTTAAGACCTGGGGCTAACATGTGATAATCATGGCTTTATGTCTTACTTTCCGTGGAAAGAGGTTGTTCTTACACTCTTTGGAAAGCCACAATTAAGAAAGCTGACATCTAGGGTATTTGCATCTGTGGTTAGTTATTTTAAAAATCTTTTTCTACACCCAAGGTATGAAATTCAAGTCTTTCAGAATCTTTACTGGAATAGGAACAGGGACCAAAGGAGCACTAGCACTCTGATAATTCCAACAGAATTAGTATGGAAGCCCCAAGAAGTGAAGTCACTCATTGTTAAACTCCTTCCTCTACCCTGCGCCCGTTTCTAGCAACAGACCTGGTGCATAGGGTATGTGTACTCCTTGTCTCTCTAAAACTCATCGCCAGCAAGCCTCCACTCTGAACACAGTGCCAAAACTGCTCCAGCAAAGGTAATCATTGGCTTCAGAAGCCAAATCTAATATGCATTTTCTTTCTTTTTTTTTTTTTTTAAGATTTATTTATTTGAGAGAGAGCTCCTTCGAGAGAAAACACAAGTGGAGGGAAGGGCGGGGGAGAGACTCCTCAAACAGACTCCCCACTGATCAGTAGCTGGAGGTGGGGCTGGATCCCAGGACCCATGAGAGCATGATCTGAAACCAAGAGTCAGACACTCAACCAACTGAGCAACCCAGACTCCCCTAATGTGTGGTGTTTTTTATTTTTTTAAGATTTTATTTATTTATTTGACAGAGAGAGGGAACACAAGCAGGGGGAGTGGGAGGGAGAGAAGCAGGCTCCCGCTGAGCAGGGAGCCCAGGGAGCCCAAAGCGGGGCTTGATCCCAGGTCCCCAGGATCCTGACCTGAGCCTATCGACTGAGCCACCCAGGTGCCCCCATTTTCCAGTTTTCATGTTGCTTGACCTCTATAGCACCTGAAATCTTAACCACTCATTCATTATTTATTCAAAATTTTATTATGAAATATTTTAGACATGCCAAAGGTATAGGAAATAATTTAACAAACATACCTGTTGTATTAGTCAAGGTTCTCCAGAGAAACAGTACCAATAGAATGTTTGTTTATTTATTTATTCATGTATTCATTCATCTGTAGGGAACTGGCTCAGGCAATTATGGAAGCTGACAAGTCCCAAGATCTGCAGAGTGGGCTGGCAAGCTGGAGACCCAGGAGAGCCAATGACTTAGTTCCAATCTAAGTTTGAGGGCTTGAGAACCAGGTGAGCTGATGGTATACTAGTCCGGAGGCCAGTAGGCTGGAGACCCAGGAAGAAGCTGATGTCCCAGTTCAAAGGCAGTCAGGCAGTATGAATGCTTTTTTATTCCACGGAGGGTCAGTTGATTGGCTGAGGCCCACCTACATTAGGGAGGGCAATTGGATTTATGCAGTCCACCGACGTAAATGTTAGTCTCATCCAAAAGCACCCTCACGGAAACACCCAGAATAATTTGGGCCAAATATCTGGGCAGCCCATGGTCCAGTCAAACTGACATATAAAATTTAGCCATCACACCTATAAACACCTATAGTTTGAGAAATAAAGCAGTACAAATATAGTTTAAGCTCCTCCTCCCCCCGCCCCGCCCAGGGAAATACTATTCTGAACCTGCTGTTAATCATTTCCATGTATATCTTTATACTTTTACTACACTATACACTATATATGCATTGAATATTTTAACTATTTGAATGGACTCACACTGCGTATAAAATTTTTCTAGAACTTTCCTTTTGATTCAACATTCCATTTGTAAGGTTCATTTATGTTGATTCACGTAGCTTTAGTTTACTCATTTCCACTGCTGTATAACATTTCATTTACAGCTATATTACAACTTAGGGATTCTCTTGTTTCCAGTTTTTGCTACTATAACACAGTCTTACTACTATGGAAATTCTCCTACACATCTTATTGTGTACATTTGAATTTCTTCAGGAGTCTACCCACATGGTTGATGGTCTGGATATCTTAACTTTACCACATTTATGCCAACACCTGGATCATCAGATCTTTTTTTTGGACAACCAGATAGATGTGAGATTATAGAACACTGTGATTTTAATTTGCATTTCACCAACCACTAACAAAGTTGAGCACCTTTTCATATGTTTATTGGTCATTAGGATTGCCTTCCGGGATGCCTGGGGTGGCTCAGTCGGTTAAGCGTCTGCCTTCAGCTCAGGTCACAATCCCAGGGTCCTGGAATCGAGTCCCGCATCGGGCTCCTTGCTCAGCAGGCAGCCTGCTTCTCCCTCTGCCTCAGCCTCTCCCCCTGCTTGTGCTCTCTCTCTCTCTGACAAATAAATAAATAAAATCTTAAAAAAAAAAAAAAAGGATTGCCTTCTATTTATTCTTATCTCTAATCTTTTCTCAGTTGTATTGTTAATCTTTTTTTCCCCTTGATTTGTAATAATTCTTTATATATTGTGGCGAACAATCCCTTTTCAGTTATATTCTTTTCATTTACCTTTTTCAAGTCTGTGGCTTTTCTCTATCACTACCTTATAGTAGCTCTCTTGAGATATAATTTACTTATTATAAAATTCACACATTTTAAATGTACAGCTCAATGATTTTTAGTAAATTTAAAGAGTTGTGTAACTATCACCACAGTCCAGTTTTCGGACATTTCCAACACCCAAAAGCAATCCCTGTAACCCACGTGCGATCAAGCCCAGTTCCTGTTTGCAGCCACAGACAACCACTAATGTGCTTTCTGTCTCTATAGTTTTGCCGTTTTTGGACATTTCACATAAATAGAATCATATAATATATGGTTTTTTGCATCTGTCTCTTTTCACTTAGAATGTTTTTAAAGTTCATTCATGGGGCACCTGGGTGGCTCAGTTGGTTGAGTGTCTGCCTTCGGCTCAGGTCATGATCTCAGGGTGCTCCCATTGAGTCCCGCATTGGGCTCCCTGCTCAGCGGGGAGGCTGCTTCTCCCCCTCCCTCTGCTCCTCCCCCTGCTCATGCTCTCTCTGTCTCTCTCTCAAATAAATACATAAAATCTTTTTTAAAAAATAAAGTTCATTCATATTTTAGTATATGTCAGTAGTTCATTTCTTTTTACTGTTGAATAGTATTTCATCGTATGAATATAGCACATTTTGTTTATTTCCCAGTTAATGGCGATCTGGCTTATACTCTGATGAAAAACAGCTCTCATAATTATCATTGCTCCCACTGTGTAATGCATCTTTTTTCTCCCTTTATGGTTGCTTTTAATATTTTTCTCTTTCTCTTTGGTTTCCAGTAATTTGATGTGCCAAGTGTGTTTTCTTTGTATTTACCCTGCTTGTATCTTGTTTAACCTCTTGGACCTGTGAATAATTATTTTCAGCCACTGTTTCTTTAAATATTTTGTTCTACCCCACCGTTTCTTTCCTCTCTTTATGGAACTCCAATCCTACGTCTATGAGACTCCTGGCTATTGTTCTACAGCACGTGAATGCTCTCTTAATGATTGTCAAACATTTTTTCTTACTTTGCTTTAATTCAGATAATTTCAATTGGCCTGTATTCAAATCACTAATTTCTTCTTTTGCAGTGTCCAATTTGTTGTTAAGTCCCTCTAGGACATTTTTATTTTCAGATATTATATTTTTCAATTCTACAGTTTGCATTTAGCTCTTTTTTAGAATTTCTGTTTCTCTTGAAATAACCTACTTCTTGGCTCATTATATTTGTTTTTTCTTTTAAATTCTTCAACACATGGATAACAGTCATTTTAAAGTCATTGTCTGCTAATTCCCATAACTAGATCATCTGAGGGTCTGGTTTTCTTATGGCTATGGGTCACAGTTTTCTCCTTTATATGTTACATAAAATTTGCCTGTACTCTGTAACTTTTGTATAAAATAGCAGTGGAAACTTAAACTTAACATTTTTGTCTTGTTTTGTTCATTTTCCAGGGACTGCAAGCTCTGTCCTCTGTTTGGTGGTTAAGGGGCACAAACATTTAGGATCATCACATCCTCTTGATGAAGCGATCCTTTTGTCTTTTTGAAATGAATCTATCTCTGGTAAACTCTTTGCTCTGAAATAAATTTTGTCTGGTATTAATATAGCAACTCTAACTTTATTTAACTAGTGTTATCATAGTATATTCTTTCCTATCCTTTTATTAATGTCTTTATATTTAAAGTTCATTTCTTGTAGGTAACAGATACTTGAGTCTTACTTTTTTTTGTAAGATTTATTTATTTATTTGAGAGAGAGCATGTGCACGTGCATGAGCAGGGGGAGAAGCAGAAGGAGAGGGAGATAGGCAGACTTCCCGCTAAGAAGGGAGCCCGATGTGGGGCTCCATCCCAGGACCCCAGGATCATGACCTGAGCCGAAGGCAGATGCTTAACTGACTGAGCCACCCAGGTGTCCCTAAATGAGGTGTTTAGACCATTTAGATTTAATGTGATTATTGATATGGGTAGGTCATGGAATATGCATGGAGATGGAAGCCAAAGTCTCCTTCTCCTTCAGGTCTCAGGGCCCACACAGGGCCCAGTAGGGACATGAACAAACTCCCTACTTCCCAAACTTCCTACTTCTGGTTCCCAAGACAGCCAAGCTTGAATCTCGCCATTTCTGGCTCATTCAGCCTTTAAACTAGGCTCACCCATCTTTCCCTATAAGGCTGGTGGTTGACACAGGTTCTGAGCATTTGGGCCCTAGTCCCACCAAGGGCTTTGGGCCCTCAGGCTCTCCTGGGGTCCTTGATCTCACTCCCTATTCATCTCAGCGTCCACCTGCTTTATAACCGTAGGGCTGTATTTTATCTCTGACCTAGCTCTTGTTCCTGCATGAGGCCTGCTGCCTGCATCCGTGTTACAACAAAACTGAGCTCCCACGTGAATGTGTGTACATCTTATCTCTCAGGCCACACAGCAGCTGCTTGTTAATTGTTCCTGCCCTGTTTGGGCCCTGCCCACCGTGGCTCTCAAAGACTCAGCTTGGACACTGCCTCTGGGTATTCCTGGCCACTTGCTGTGGTGACACCAGACCATTCTTCCCCCTCTAAGAATTAGTCTTGGCAGAACCTCACATGATGGGCTCCCTCCATGACCATGACTCCACTGTCTTGGTCAACTGGGGCTGACCATCCATCTCAGCCTCCTCTCACCCCCTTGGGAGTTCAGTATGCATCTCCCTCTTACTCAGAGTCTCCCCTTTGGAGAAATAAGTTTCATAATTCTTTTTAAAAAAAATTTTTTTTTAAATTTATTTGACAGAGAGAGAGACAGCGAGAACAGGAACACAAGCAGGGGGAGTGGGAGAGGGAGAAGCAGGCTTCCCGTGGAGCAGGGAGCCCGATGCGGGGCTCGATCCCAGGACCCCGGGATCATGACCTGAACCGAAGGCAGATGCCCAACAACTGAGCCACCCAGGCGCCCGAGTTTCCTAATTCTTAGTAAAGATGTTTCAGTGAATATTTCTAAAGTCTCATGTTTTCGCTTAGCAATGCCCACACTGAGAAAATGGCCTGCTGTCTTAGAAAAATGCATCTCCTGAGATACCATCAATGCAGGTAGCCACCTGGAATGACCTTCCTGCTTGTGGCAAATTGTACTTTCCAAAAAGGGCTGCAATAATATTTCCTATCCTGCATGCTCTTCCCGAACCTTGCCACTCACACATCAAGCGGTGGGGGTCCATGTCCCCTTGCCTGGAAAATGGGTGGGGCTTTGTGACCGTCTCAATTAGTAGAGAACAGGGGAAGTTCTGCTCTGTGCCTTCTGAGGTTAGGTTACAGAAGGCAAGATAACTTCCTCCAGGCTCCCTCTTGGGAGGTGTGCCTTTTTTTTTTTTTTTTTAAGATTTTATTTATTTATTTTTGAGAGAGAGCACGAGCGGGGGGAAGGGGCAGAGGGAGAGGGAGAAGCAGACTCCCCGCTGAGCAGGAACCCTGATGCAGGGCTTGTTCCCAAAGGCAGCCACTTAACCGACAGAGCCACCCAGGTGCCCTGGGATGCTTGCCTTTGTAACCCAGCTGCCATGCTCTGAGGGAATCCTGGCCTCCTGGATAGCCCACATGTAGGGGTTCCGGCTAACAGTTCTCCCAGCCGACAGCCAGCATCAGCTGCCAGCCATGTGAGTAAGGAAGTCTCCATGATGACTCTAGCCAGCTATCATCTGATCGCAATCACATGAGAGATCCTGAGCAAGAACTATCTAGATCTAGCCAAGCTCAGTAAAATCTAGAGCCATGAGAGATAAAAATGACTTGTTTTAACCTACTAAGTTTGGGGTGATTTGCTACACAGCAATAGATAACCAGAACACTGCCCATCTCCACACGTCAAATGCCTCACCCATTTATGGCTGAGCCCATCACCGTATGTTCAGCTCCTGTAAAGCTTTCCCTGACTCCTGCAGTAGGATCTCCCCCTCCTGAGCTCCCAGTGCTCTTTGTCTGTGCCGGTCTCCCATAACACATCCAGGTGCTCACCCATCTCCCCTCTTCCTGTCAAGTCCTGGTTCATCTACTCCTGCACCTAGGCCAACACTTGGCTTGTTTTGGGTGCTCACATCTCTGTCTGGATGGATGATGGGGAAATGTATCTGGGAGAGTGAACATTTGCCAATGGAGAGAAGTGCCCCGAGTTGCATATTAGCTTCTTGTACCTTCATAGGCCTTTTTCTTTGACTGGTGTCTCAGGATATTTTTGGTTTCTCTACTAGGAACCTAAGATGTCTTGAGGGAGAGGCAGAAGAATTTAAGTATCGGGAGATCCTGGTGAAAAAAGGATTGTCTAAGTCAGGGTTTTGTTTTTGGTTTTTTTGTGAGTAGGCTCCATGCCCAACATGGGACTTGAATTCGCAATCCTGAGATGAAGAGTCACATGCTCTACCAACTAACCCAACCAGGCACCCTTAAGTTGGGAGTTTTCTTTCTTTCTTTTTCTTTTTTTTTTAAAGATTTTATTTATTAATTGACAGAGAGAGAGCAGCAGAGGAAGAAAGAGAAGCAGACTCCCTGCTGAGCAGGGAGCCTGATGGGAGACTTGACTTGATCCTGGGACCCTGGGATCACGACCCAAGCCGAAGGCAGACACTTAACGAACTGAGCTGCCCAGGTGCCCAAGTTGGGAGTTTTCTTAAGGTTAGTGACTAAAGGGCCACTTAGGCTACAAGGGCCCCTAAGAAGTGTCTTTCACAAATTTACCAGCAGATGGCAGCCTTGCTCCTGGTTCTTACCTTGCAAACGATGAAGTGAACTTATTGCATTCATAAAATATTAATGAAGCATTTGCTCCGTGTAAGGCACTGTGTGAGCTACAAAGGAGGGTAAGCTGCAATCCCTTCCCTCTGAGACCTTCCCGTCTAGTAAACTCTATATCTCTTGAGCTTGTCTTTAGATTGATGACTCCAAAAGTCAGCCAATCCTTTCTTCTCAGAGTCTAATTTCATACAATCGGCCCTGATGGAACAGAGGGGTTAAAGGTATTGCCTAAGGTCTGGTTATTTCCAATCTACTTCACTGCCTTAAAACATTGCCGTCTGGCCAGATGATCACAGAGAAGGTTGGATCTGCAAAGGTGGTGTCCTAGACAGGAAACAGGGAGGCAGGTTTTATTTATTTTTAATTTTTTTAAGATTTTATTTATTTGAGAGAGAGAGAGAGAGCATGAGCTGGGGGAGAGGCAGATGGAGAGGGAGAGGCAAACTCTCCACTGAGCCGGGAGCCCGACGTGGGGCTCCATCCCAGGACCCTGGGACCATGACCTGAGCCGAAGGCAGCCGCTTAGCCGACTGCGTCACCCAAGCGCCCCTGAAAACAGGTTTTAAAGCAAGAGGGAAACAAAACTGGTCGGGAACAAAAGGCAGCTGGAGTGATTGGAGCTAAGTCTTTCAGAAAAACTTCTCCTGAGCCTTCAGCCCAGACCTTGACTACACTGCTCCCTACAGCCTGTCAGGCTCAGAATAGCAGGAGCCTGCACAGCCAGCTCCGGGGAGTCCGGGTGGGGGGAACTCCCCCCCCCCACCGTTCCCTTTTCCCTCCCAGCCCCTCCTGTTTGTCCCTGCCCGCACTCTGGCTCTGAGAGCTCCCCACAAGCCAGCGAGTGGGAGCAGAGGCTGCGGGGGGAGCAGGAGGGAAAGTGGCCCTGCAGAGCTATCAGGCTGAGGGGACAGGAAGGGGAAGTGGTCATTTTTAAAGTTGTTCAGCCTGTTCCACACATACTCTTTTGAGGATCTGACCCTGAGCCTCCCCTGAAGGAGTTTCTGAATCACCTTTTAAGCTCCCCTGGAACATTCTTTGTGCTTCACAGTGTTCATATCAGCTTGAAAATCAAAACAAATTTCCTAATCCAGGGCCCTTTGTAGTATCCCCTCCGATTCTTTCCAGATGGATTTCCCTTTTTCTTGCCTCCACGCATTTTATCTTCATGACATTCACTTGCAGATATTTTGGTCTTTCTTTTGCTTTTGGCCATCAGGCTCATTTCTCCTGCAAACCCTGAGGGATTCTAAGGGCTCCTCCTTGGGAAATGTGACTATAGAGACCAAGAGCCCAGCTCAGGAGTCCAGCCCATTCCAGAGCACTCCCCCTCCATAAGTAATCGCTGTGCCCATGTGGGGCTCGAACTCATGACCCCGAGATCACGAGTCCCAAGCTCTACTGACTGAGTCAGCCACGTGCCCCACCACAGCCCCCCCTTTTGACTTGCCTTGTCACAGCCTCAGAAGTGCAGATCCAGATCCAACAAGATCCAGAGAGATCCAGAGCTGCAAAGAGCCTGAGAGATGATCCATTCCCCGCACTGGGTCCCCTCATAGTCCCAGGGGTCCACAGAGGGCTGCCAGGGGCTCCTGGAGCTACACCATTGAGAACGACACACTTCTCAAGGACCTCCCTTTCTTTCAACCATCATTTTCAGCAGTATCTTTTAATGAAGACAAACAGGCAGGGGTGCCTGGGTGGCTCAGTTGGTTAAGCATCTGACTCTTGATCTCAGCTCAGATCTTGATCAGGGTCATGAGTTCAAGCCCTGCAGTGTGAGCCTACTTTAAATAATAAATACATACATATATAAAATGTAGAACACAAGGAT